GCGGCTGCCCGGGGAGCTCCGCCGGTGTCCGAGCGAATCGGCAGCTGCCGGCGGCCGCAGGCGCCAAGATGGTTTGCGGGGGCTTCGCGTGCTCCAAGAACTGCCTGTGCGCCCTCAACCTGCTCTACACCGTGAGTACCGGGAGTCCCTCCTCGACGCGGGGGGCTCTGCACCTGCCCGGGCGCCCCTCGGCGCCCCTGCCTGACCGGCGACTCCCTCGCCGGGTCCCGCGCCCCCTTCCCGTCTTCCCACGCTCTGCGCGCCCCGGGCCTCGCCGTCAGTCCCCGCCGGGGACCCGGAGCCGGCGCTTGTCGCAGTCTCTGGCTCTCCTTCATTGTGAAGGCTGGCCGGCCGCGGCTCTGCCACCCTGCTCCACCCCGCCCCCTCACCCACCGCCTTGTTTTCCAGACGTAGAACCACCTCTTCCCGCTTCCCCATCCCGGTCTCTCCCGCAGCTCGCTCCTGGCGCCCAGCCGGGGCGGGCGGGGAGGCGGGAGAGCCGCCTCGGCTCTGCGGACGGTGGTGGGGACGGCGGGGTCTGAAACTGACGAGGCGACCGAGGGATGGGGTGCCTGGCGGCCGGCTCTGCGTGTTCTCGTGCTTTTCACTGAGGCCACGGTGTAGGTTCGCAGGATATCCGCTGCTTCCGAAGTTTGTTTCGTGCTTACAATGAAGGGATGCCTTTTTGTCCTTGTTATTGCCAGTTTTGCTCATACTTGATGCTTTTTCCCTGTGTCTCCCCTATTATCAATCCTCCAACTCCATTTGAAACGACGTCCTCCAGTAAGTAAGCGAGCCTCCACCCAAGTCGTTTTTTTCCCTGCCAGCCTGCTTGGGCCTTTTAGTTCTAGCCCTGCAGGCTATGTGTGTGATTTTGGAGGCGTAATTCCGAGTGAACCGGAGGATGGGAGGACAGATTGACGTGCACTGAATGCCTACCTACCATGGCTCAAGTTTTACGTACAAGATGTTGGGTCGTCGTTCTGATAACCATCCCAGGGATGGGGCATTGTCTACATTTTATATATAAGGCAACAGACCAAAACGGGTTTTAATAAGTTTACATAGCTGGTAATCGGCGAATCAGAAGTGGGACCTAGGCTGTGGAATCCAGATCTTTCCACAGGCTGCCCCTACAGGGCTGAAGAAACTTCCTCTTCTGTCATCAACCCTCCATCATAGCCTTGCTCCCTTCTATAAATACACCTGGAGATTTGCAGCACCCACCCTGAAAACAAACCCAGCACCCCGGCATTAGCAGAGAGCTAGGCCATCTGTGCAAGCTTAAGTTACATCCTTGGGAGAGAGAGGCTTGGGTCATTTTACCATTACTGTTCTTGTGTATGTGAACATGATTGCAGAGCTGCCAAGGCCAAGCAGAAACAGGTGTAGATTATGCTTTTCTGACTGATTGGTAGTAATCTGGTCAACATGGTCACTAATGGCAGACTTGGGGGAAAAAAATTCTGGAACACCTGGTGATACACTTCCTTGGAGTTGTGTGTCAAGCTTCGATCAAAATCCACCTTTGTCTCACCTGAGGCATGCTTATCATATCAGTTGCTTCTTAAGTAAATGCTGACCTGTTCTGCGGGTTGTTGTTTTTGTTTTAAATCGTTGTGAGTGGTTTGCTTAGAACTTCAAATTCCCTATTCTGTGCCCTGACTTCTATGTTTTTTTCCTGTCAATGGTTTAGTCATCTGTTTGCCACACTCTAAAGTGTCTACTTATAGTAGATCGTCTACTTTGCATAGCCGACTAAGGGTTCTATGTAGATTAATGTACAATTTTTTTAAAAAAGTCAAGTTATTTTTAAATCAAGTTTGACTGCTTTCAAGATATTTCATATTTAGTTGTATCTTCAGCGTATTAGGAAAGCGAGGCAAAAGAAAGGTGACTCTAAAGGGACGTATTAAGACTATTTAATATCTATTCTAAATTATTGACCTTCAAATTGTATTCTATTGATTTTAATTGCTATACAGTAAAACTTAATGAATTGGAAATTCATGGTACTATAAAAATGGTTAGCTCTTTTAAAATCATCAACTCTTTAGGCAAAGGGACATTTCTTAAAATGAATTAGTGGCTACTTCTTGTACCTTGCTTAAATACATTCAGCAGGTTACGGTGGAGGCGAATGCCAGGTGAAAGTTGCACCAAGTCTTAAACAGATACTGTTAATGTGCCATTGCTAGTATTTAGGTTCTGTATCTTTCCTGGTCTCTCCCTCAACATTTTCAGATGTAAAAATGTGAGGCAGTTGGAGTGGGGTCGAGCTTGAAGACTTGGGAGACATTTCTTTGTAACTCATGTATGAGAAGACCATATGTAGATTCTAATCCCACCCTGGTCACTGCCTCTAAAATATGCTCAACGCCTCAGGACTAGGTCTGAGGTTGTTTCTAATAGTGTCGGTAAAATCAGAATTGCCTAAGGGAGAGACTGGAGTAAAGGCCTTGGTTGCCTTAAGTATCCTCTCTTTTGTGTTGAAGCCTTTTCCTGAGGAATTTGAGACTCTCCCTGCAGTCTGCATGCTCTGGTGGGCTGCTGATAAGCCTGAGATTCGCGATCAGTACAGAGCGTGTCACTACAACAAACTGATAGTCCCAAACGTACCCGGGAAATGTGATCACGTGGAAAGGTTAACTGTTGGTTTTGTTGTTGTTGTGTATGGCTTGGTTGTTTTAATCAACTGCATCTGTAGTATTGAACCACCTTACATTAGTGTAGCATATGTTAACAATTTGTATGTGTAGAGGGAAAGGCGGAAGTTGCCATCCCTTGGTTTATCTTCATGGAATTCTAAGAGAGAGATGATTTGTCTCAGAACATTCTACATGTAAAGATCCTGAATGCTTCTTCCTTCAACAAATATTTGAGTGACTATGTGCTGGGCTCTGGTCTCAGCTTGGAAATACAGCAGCAAAAGGGTTTAAAAATCAATATGCTTTTAGGAAACCTCTTTTTAATTTACTACCTTTTTTACTTGGTCTCAAAAACTGTACTTAGGTAATAAACATTTGTGTATTGTGTGCACTCTGCTGAGAACTGTGAGAAATAATCAGTACATCCAAGGACTGTATCCTGTGGAGATAGGATCTAGTTGGGAGACATAGATTGGGAAAACTGAATGGTGTGTCAGGGACATGCTGACCTTAGATGCCGTAAAATTTCAGAATGGGAAAGATCTTTGTGAGTTAGAGAAGGTGGGGAAATAAATGTGTGATTGAATTGGGGAAGTGTAGGAATAACATGTGGGTCTTTTTGTTAGCATGTAGGATATAAATAAAAACTAAAACTATTTTTGGGAAAATGATGAATTTTATTTTTAATAGTTTATTTTTATTTTTTAAAACACAGAATTACCATATGAAATAGTTTATTTTCATATGACTATTTTAGGTTGAAAGCATTTTGACAAATAGTAAAAAGAACTTTTAAAGATTATTCATAGTGATTTGTGAGGAACTTTAGGGAATATAAAATGAATGTTGTGTTAAAATATGTAACATTTTGAAGTTTTATAAAACATCTTCTTGTGTTTCTTAACCGGAGAAGAAAGCTCTATTTAGAGAAAAAAAAAGAAGAGGTAGCTGACTTTGTTAAATAGAACCAAACAGAAAAAAATGACCAAAAATGCATTTACTGAGATTTTAAGAGTTGCACTCACAGTTTTATGTATGTATATATATATTTATTTATACATATATATTTTCAAATATACATATATTTGAATAGTTTTAACTTACAGTCTCAAAATCAGGAGGGAAATTTTAGAAGTTGAAGTTTGGTTTCTTTTTTTTTTTTTGTATGTTTATTCTAAAATCTTTCCAAGTTTGATACTTTTCTTTTCGCCATTTTCCCTCTACATCTTTGATTGTTTTTAGAAGAATTCTCATGCAGCATCAAAAATTATACTGATTTTCATGAATTCTAAAGCACATTAATTTACATGTTAGTCTCTCAGAAACTGGGATCCATATTATAGTAGGTAAAATATGCCATATCTGTCAGATTAAAAAAAATGTCTTTGGGAGGCTGAGGTGAGTGGATTGCCTGAGCCCGCGGGTTTGAGACCCGCCTGGGCAGCGAGACCTCATCTCTACAATAAATAAAAAAATCAGCTGGGCGTGGTAGCGCGCACCTGTAATTCCGGCTACTTGGAAGGCTGAGGCGGAAGGATCGCCAGAGCCCAGCAGGTCGAGGCTGCGGTGGCCGGGAGCAGCCACTGCACTCCAGTCTGGGCGACCGAGTGAGACTCCAACTCAAAAAAAAAAAAAAAAAATATCCATACAGTTTATGGGGGCAGAGAGCACTGAAATTATGAAGAAAACTGAGCTTTTCCAACTCAACTTACTTGGACAAACAGCTCTCTTTGAGTTTCAATTTCTTCCTTTATAAATTAGTGATGATATTTTAAATTCTTCCATTATGAGGACAAATTGAGATCATGTGTATAAATGCTTTAGTACAGTTTGAGGTGGAAAGAGTTGAGTTACTTTAAACTTCTGAATTACAAACTTACATGCTGTAACAGAAAAATTTTCAAGCTATTGGGATGTTTAGCATGTATAGGCTGGTGTTAAGTCAACAGGCCCTACAGAGGCAAGAGTTCATATCTTCAAGATAAATAATCTTTTAGTTGTAAGAAAAAAATGCTGAGGCATGTTAAGTATATATTCGGAATTGCAGTTTTTAGATTTAGCTATATATATATTTTTGAGTCCTACTCTAGTCAGTAGAGGACTGGAAAAGTATACTTTTGTTCAGTCTCAGGATCAAAATAAATGAAAATCACTAATATTTTGGTCAAACAAAAATCTACTTATTGCAGTTGCTTTCAAACTATTATATTTTTCAAATTATTCTAGTTTTTTTTTTTCTTCTTCAAGACAGAGTCTGGCTCTGTCACCCAGACTGGAGTGCAGTGGCACAATCAATAGCTCACTGAAGCCTTGAATTCCTGAGCTCAAAGGATCCTCCTACCTCAGCCTCCTGAGTAGCTGGGACTAAGGGAACTACTACCACATTCTGCTGATTTCTAGTTTAATGTGTGATCACGTTTGTAGTATTAGCTCCCTGTCATTGTTCAAATTGTTTTTTGAGTTGGAGTCTCATTCCTTCGCCT